TCTTGTTCTTAGTAGTAATCCCAGGAGCTACTAGTAGCATTCTTGCTACCAGTACTATTTGATGCCCTTGAACGCTACAAGACTTTTACTCAACTTCACCACTTGCAGCTTGAGTGGCTTCATTTACTCTCTCGACGCCACATTCGCAGGTGATTGTTGGGCCCTGGTTCGAGGACGACAGCATCTTGCGCCGTCCGGCTTCTGGTGTCGAGGCGGAAACATGAGATTCTTGTAACAAGTGCATCGCTAGTAGTAACAAGTGCCTTACTAGTAGTAACAAGAAGCTACTAATTTAAATTAGTTTTAATTCTAATTCTATCGAATTCTTGCTTCTCGTAGCTTCTTGCTAGTAGTAAGGCCAGGAGCTCCTAGTCGCGTCCTTGTTCGTAGTAGCGATGCCCTTTGCTCCTAGTAGCTTGGTACCAGGGTAGTTAGTCCGAAGGCCATCCAATCTAATGCCTCTAGTTCCGGGCAGCAATATGGAAACAGAACCAGCTGCAAACTGATAATCTCGTTCTTTTCCCTTGTACTTCACCTTGCTTTGATATTGCCAAAGTGGCAAGAGCATTTTCTCTGGTTGAGTGAAGTCAGTGTTTTTGGGAGGTTCTCCAGCTACTAGTAGCAAGTGCATTGCTACTAGTAACAAGGGCATTACTACTAGTAGCAAGAAGCTGCTAGTAGCGATGCCCTTTGTTACTAGTAGCGTTCTTGTTCCTAGTAGTAATGCCAGGAGCTACTAGTAACATTCTTGCTACTAGTATTAATGCCCTTGTTACTAGTGTTTTTGGGAGGTTCTCCAGCTTCAAAAAGCTCTTCTGAAGTTGGGCTATTTGCCAGCAGCTTGATGGCAGTGTGGATGGATTGTGCCCATTTCTGTCCAGTGTTTCTTTTGAAACCACCAAGGAGATGTGCTGCACTGGAGTTTTCGACTCCATAACAGATGCTCTCCAGATCCAAGTGATTTTATGCATGGTTTTGAAATACAATATGTCAGTGTGTTTTGCCGAATCAACTCGCCCAAGGAAGAATGTGTGAAAGATTTCCAAAGATTCAGTGGCTTGAGCCAGGACACCTGGAGCCGTTCTTTTTAAATGTAAAACAAAAGAAAGAAGAAAGACACCGACTAAAAATGGCCTCCAGAGTAGAAAACACCCGCTTGTACAAATTCTCCAAAAAAGGCGGCTATTTTGGGTCTCACAAACGAGCGAAGTTCCTCAAATCCAAAGAATGCACGCAAAAAGAAGAGCCCGCACAACGATGTGGGGAAAACATATGCCCAATGTTGGAAAAAGGAGCAAGGACGCTACTAGTAGCTCCTGGCCTTACTACTAGTAACAAACGGTATCGCTACTAGTAACAAGGTCATCGCTATTAGTAGCAAATAGCTACGAACGGGGCTCCTGGCCTTACTAGGAGCAAGAATCTACTAGTAACAAGTGCCTCGCTACTAGGAGCAAGTGCCTTACTGGTAGAAACAATAAGCTATTAGAAACAAGTGCCTTACTAGTAGAAACAAGGACGCTAGTAGAATCTACTAGTAACAAGTGCCACGCTAGTAGTAACAAGTGCCTTACTAGTAGTAACAAGAAGCTACTAGGAGCGATCGGACGCTACTAGTAACAAAGGGCAACAAAAACACTTCGCAACAAGTCAGGACGGCGTCGTCGGCCCGGCCACAAAGGCGGCCTTTACTGCGAGGCGATTTGATACCATGCCTGATTTGCGCTCCCCAGGCTGGACGCGTTCGGGTTCTCTCCTTTAAAGCCCGGCCTTCCTTAATTAAGTGGGACTACCTACTTAATGAAGGGAGAGCAAACAAGATGTTCCTGTGAGGTGTAGTTAAAGCCCAAGACCCAAACTGGGAGCGTGTCTTGCCCGATTGGCTCAGGAAGCCATCCTTACATTGGAATGACGGTGAATTATGCAGTTCGAGGTCTTCCAGGCTATTTAGAACGTCAGAGACTAAGTCTTCGAGAAGGTTCACGGCCTTTTCATCCTTATTCTATTCGAGATAACAACATACCTATATATAGTAGGCCTGACTGTGAACAGGGAGAAGGGACACATCTTCTCGTGTGAGCATTTTGCAGAACTTAAGGTCATCGCTCTGAGTGTTTGGCCGAGATTGATGAGGCCATGAAACAGTGGGCGGACGCTGCAGGCACGCTGGAACCGCAACGAACAGCCACACATGATACGAAGATATGGGTGAAGCTGCACACCGAAGCAGTCTAGCACACTCGTTTTGTCCGCTGCTAGGCCTCAAGTACAAACGGCTCCCTGTCAGCAGTGTCAGTGCAAATGCCACTTGTTGTGACAAGTGTTTACCTTCTCATTAACGCCGTAGGCAGTAGCATGGCATGCGCCTCATTGCAGATTCAAGACCTTTGAGAAAGGTTCCTGGAGGTTCTTGTAAGCAGCAGGAGTAGCGGCATTAAGGAACCATGGTTGTAGTAGTAGTAGTAGTAGTAGTAGTAGTAGTAGTAGTAGTAGTGGATTTTTCTGTGCTAAGAGTAATACAGTCAGTACAAATCGTAGAAGTACTCGTGGAAGTGGCAGTACTAGTAACGTTAGAATAGTGGATTGGTGGTAGTTGCAGTCATCATATGAGTACCTGTAGTTGCGGCCATCGTTGTTGCAGTAGCTTCAGTATTGGTAGGCTTAGCAGTAACAGCAGGAATGGGAGGGGGAGGAGCAGTAGCACGAGCAGGAGCAGTCTTCGTCGTAGTGGTGCTTATGGTAGCAGTGAAGGCAGTAAAATCAGTAGTGGCGGATCTTGCGAAGAATTCTTCGGACAAAGCTAAAGAATGAACGATAAAAACGATGAAGAAAGACACCAAAAAAGGAAAATAATACAAACATAACACAAAAGGAAAAGAATACAAAAGAAGTAAACACATGTTTTGTTTATTTTTTTTGTTTAAAAAAAAGTTCAGCAAATGAATCAAGCCGAAGCAGAGAGTCAGTGTCCAAGGCCCAGTAGCAACCTGAAATTAAGAAACACATGTCAAAGAACAAATTGACGATTTCTTAACAAGGAGCTACTAGTAGCAAGAAGCTACCAGGTGGAGGCCATCGCTAGTAGGTTGGAGGCCATTACTACTAGTAACAAGAAGCTACTAGTAACAAGGGCATCGCTAGTAGTACCAAGGGCATTACTACTAGTAGCGAGAAGCTACTAGTAGCGATGCCCTTTCGTACTAGTAGCATTCTTGTTCCTAGTAGCGATGCCCTTTGCGCCCGCGCGCGCGCGCGCACGTGCGCGAAAATCCCACCGTAGTAGCCTCCTTTGCTACTAATTTTGGTTTCATTTATTTATTGTTTCTACTATCTTCTTGTTCCTAGTAGTACGGCCAGGCGCCCCTAGTAGCGTCCTTTGCTCCTAGTAGCATTCCTTGTGAGGACCAGCGAGATTCATGCGCGGCTCCACATCTCCTTCGCCCCTTTGAAGGATGACGGGCCTGGAGGCCGCCTGGCGGAGGCACCACATCGCTTTCGAACGCGCACATGGTCAAACGTGTTGTTTCAGAAACGGTAAGAGCCAAGAGCTTAAAGCCCAAGAGCGTAAGGGCCAAGAGAAACGATAGGACGCCCTTAAGCCTTTGGCAAGAACTGAAGAATCTAAGACGGTCGACACTTCCCGCAGGCCTCCACTTGGAGTGTGGTGTCGCTTGGCAGAGCTCTTGCTGCACGCCGCTTCGCGTTCTTCACCCCGCTTTGAGGTTGGATTCCACTGAGCGGTGGCTGTTGAAGAGCCAGAAACCCGAAGGACCTCGAAACAGCTTCTATCTCTATCCAGTGGTGCTGCACGAGATCGGACATTGCCTCTCATCTATAAGGAAAGCTTCAAGATGCTTTGGATTCTTTGTAAAAAGACACAGAGATCATCAAAGGAAGGCCAGGCTCTCTTTTAAAGAGGGATTCTACAGCTATTCCCCTTTTTTAAAGACATTTAAAGACTAATCTTTGTTGATTCAAAATCTCTTCGGGGGCAAGCGCAAACCCGAAGAGGAGACGGATCGGCAAGCCACTTTCAGGTCTTGGAGTGCAACACAGCTCCAATCGTGCTGATGTGATGTGGCCCTACTACAGGCCAGACTGCCGACGCCTTTTCTGGAAGGAAAACGAAAGGCCTCCAACCCAAGAGCGATGGCCTCCAGGGAAGGAAAACTTGCCTTCCCTTCCTTCCCCTTGCCTTCTTCTTTCCCTTCTTCTTTCCTTTCTTTCTTGACTCGAGACCTTTAGACCTTTTCCGTTTTCCTTTGCGGCTCACAGCCTTCACAGCTCAGTCACACTGGCCAACTTGCCATTCCTCGTAAGGAAAAGGGAAAGGTCGTAGTGGAAGGAAAACGACTCTATTCCCGCTTTCTGGCAGGGAGGATCAGGTTGATGCGAAGCTTTCGGAAGCTGACAAAGCAGCGGTCAGAGGCAAATTGCGCAAGGTGCCGCCAGCATTTAGCATTTGTTGACCTTCGATCCTCTTGTGTTCGATCCTTTCAGTTCTTCTGCTCTTAATCCTTTTAGTTTTGCATTAAAATAGATTCAACATTCACTCAAAAGACAGTCAGAGACTACGAGGAGATACCAAGGTAGCAATTGACAGGAATCTCCTTTGACGCAGCCGAGGACTGCACCTGCACAGTCAGCTCCTGTGTGGTGACTTGACAGTGCCGCCTTGAAGGTAAAGGCCGCGACATATTTTTTGGCTTCATCCAACATGGGTGGAAGCTGTCTAGGCCGATCAGGGAGGCATCGATCTAAATCCCGATGGAAAGCAAAAATGATTCCGAGAACTCGAGTGAGACACTGAGACCTTGCCAGAAGCGATGGCCTCCAACCTACCAAGCAACGGCCTCCAACCTACTAGCGAGTTATAATCTCAAGCCCTTGAAAGCTTCAAAGTCAACCGGTTTTGCTGCGGCTTGTTGCTGGAGTGCGTGGGTGTGTTTGTGTGGAATGTGCACTCGCTGGCTGCTCACGTGTGAAATACTAGGGCTTGCAGGATTTGGAGGCTCAAGCACGGTGCAAGTTGCGTAGTTCTCACAGGTCCTGAGAAGATGCCGATTGAGAAGATTCATGCCCGTCAGATCTTCGACAGCCGTGGCAATCCCACCGTAGAGGTGTGCTCATGAACTGGGCTCCAAACGCACAAACCGTGCACGGCGTGGTTGTAGGTTTTCTTGTTTTTTGATCTTGCACCTTTGCCCTCTAATATGGTTTGCTATTATGTTGGAGGCCATCGCTATGAGGTTGGAGGCCATCTCTACTAGGTTGGGAGGCCATTGCTACTTAGGTTGGAGGCCATCGCTATTGGGCCATTGCTATTCCATTGCTATTAGGCTGGAGGCCATCGATATTAGGTTGGAGGCCATCGCTATTAGAAACAAAGAAAAAAGAAGCTTCTCGCTTCTCAGGTTGAGGTGACCACGGAGAAGGGTATCTTCCGGGCCGCGGTACCTAGTGGTGCAAGCACCGGTGAGAACGAAGCTTGTGAGCTTCGGGATGGGGGCTCTGACTACATGGGAAAAGGCCAGACCTGTACGGACACCTTGCACTCATTGTTCTGGACGCCTTTCTCTTCTCATTGTTCCTAGTAGCGATGCCAGGAGCGCCCCTAGTAGCGTCCTTGCTCCTAGTAGCGATGCCCTTTGTTCCTAGTAGCGAACCTTGTTACTACTAGTAAGGCACTTGTTACTAGAAGCGATGCACTTGTTCCTACTAGCTCTCTTTGCTCCTAGTAGCGTGGCACCTGTTACTAGTAGCGTGGCACTTGTTCCTAGTAGCATTCTATATGCATTTTTTTTCTATTTTGCAAGGTGTAAAGAAGGCAGTGAGCAATGTCACCTCGAAGATCGGCCCAGCGCTGGTCGGCAAGGAGAGGGTTTTAAGTGTCTCAGTTCTCAGTGCTCTTAAGATTTTCTAGCTTTTTGTTACTAGTACGGCACCTGTTACTACTAGCGTAGCACTTGTTACTACTAGCTCTTGTTTCTTTTTAAGATTTTAAGTTCCCTTGTTTCTTTTGCAATTAGGGGTTGAGGCCAAAGCTACTATGATTTCACTCCTTCTTCTTGCTTCCAAAATCTTCAATTCGTTACATAGTTTGACTCTGCAGGATCCCGCAGATCAGCAGACCATCGACAAGGTGATGCTCGATCTTGATGGCACCGAGAACAAGACCAACTTGGGTGCCAACGCGATCTTAGGTGCGGAGGTGAACACGAATTGGATGCTTGCAAGCCACGCAGACGGCGCCGCTTGCAGACGTCGAAACTTGTTGGACGTTTCACGCTCTTGTTGGACGTTCTACGGCAGGTGTTTCGATGGCATGCTGCAGAGCTGGAGCTGCACAGAAAGGCATTTCTTTGTACAGGCGGCACATGGCGGTGAATTACGGCACTTCTTCAAATGGCGACACTGTTCAAGTGTTCATGTGGGGTTTCTTAAGACGTAAGAGGCGTAAGTGTGATTCTCAGTAGACACTTGTAGCGAAGCTCTTTCGAGGCACATCAATGAGCTTGCTGGCAAGCCTCCTATGTGCATGCCAGTGCCTTGCTTCAACGTCATCAACGGTGGCGTTCATGCCGGGAACTACTTGGCTTTTCAGGCACAAACCCTTTTGCTTGGTGTGATGTCCAAATTATTTTTCTTCCATCGCTATTAGGTTGGAGGCCATCGCTATTGGGTTGGAGGCCATCTAGCAGGTTGGAGACCACTGCTATTAGGCTGAAGGCCATCGCTAGCAGGTTGGAGACCACTGCTATTAGGCTGAAGGCCATCGCTAGTAGGTTGGAGGCCATCTCTAGCAGGTTGGAGGCTTTTCAGGTGTGATGTCCAAATTCTTTTTCTTCCACGTCTTGTGTGGCAGGAGTTCTTCCTGATCCCACTGGGAGCGACAACTTTTGCGGAGGCAATGAAGCTTGGCTCGGAGACATACCACAACCTCAAGAGCATCATTAAGAAGAAGTATGGCACCTCGGATCAAGAAAGCCGCACATGCGGGGAAGGAAGGAAGGAAGGAAGGAAGGAGCACGTGAGACATTTTCCGCAAAGCGACATTTCAGGCTTGGACTCCACAGCAGTGGGTGATGAGGGCGGCTTTGCACCTGCTGTCAACGATGCAGAAGAGGCAGAGCAGCAAACGAGGGAGCAATGGAATAAGTCATGAAGAAGAGATAAACGCTGCAAAATCGGTTTCGCTTGTATATTCTTTCTGGAAACAGGGCCTGAAGCTGCTCTTGGAAGCCATTGATCAAGCAGGGCACACAGGGAAGATCTTGATCGGCTCTGATCCAGCATCTTCAGAGTTCTGGAAGGGGGAGGAGCAAAAGTATGCCTGGTACTCAGAGTACCTACCTGTTGCTCGCCTTGCTTTCTTCTAGTTCGTTCTTAGTTTTGGAACATGTATAATTTAGAGCACCAAATATACACAAGACTTCAATTTCACCGACAAGAATAGTCACGCACCTTGCTAGTAGGTTGGAGGCCATCCCTATTAGGTTGGAGGCCATCGCTATTAGGTTGGAGGCCATCGCTATTAGAAGTAAAAGGAAGTCGTCAGTGACTAAAGCCGCACAGCTGTTTCTTTGAGGATCTGGACTTCAAGTGCAAAGCGCCCAGGCCGGAGCAGAAGAAGTCCCGAGAGGAGATGGTGTCTTGCTGCAAAGAGAAGTAAATTGATACAGGCATAAGCAAAATCCAGGCGTTGGAGATTGAAGTTGGTTGTGTTTTCCATCAACATGGTGGAATGTGGTGTTGGACTCCAAGCTGTCTTTAGGCAACTCACCACTAAATTCTCACTGATCGCTTCGCATGTGCAAGATGATTTGAGGTCGCCCTCTACAAGCACTTTTGTGACACTTATCCCATTGCCCTTTTGGAGGAGGGGCTGAGCTGTCCAGCGTTGGTGTACGTACGCAATGATGCAGCAGTCCTCTCCAGGACCCCTTTGCAGAAGAGGACTTTGAAGGTCATGCGCAACTTACGGCGATTGTGGGTGACAAGGCCTTTCTTTACACGATGTGTCATGAGTCATGATGATCATGGATGGGAAAGAAAAAATAAGGACAAAAGGAAAGAATGAACGGACATAGAGACAATTACAATTAAAGAAACTACAGAACAAATACAGGAAGCACAAGAAATAAAGAGGGCATAAAGGTCTCAAACAAATCAAAAATAGACATGAAAAGAGAAGATAACAAAACGCAAAGAAAGACGTGGAGCTTATTGTTACTACTAGTAAGGCACTTGTTACTAGTAGCGATGCACTTGTTTCTAATAGTTTCTTGTTACTACTAGTAAGGCACTTGTTACTAGTAGCGATGCACTTGTTTCTAATAGTTTCTTGTTACTACTAGTAAGGCACCTGTTACTACTAGCTTCTTGTTACTACTAGCGTGGCACCTGTTACTACTAGCTTCTTGTTACTAGTAGTGAGGCCATCACTATTGGGTTTACCGGGAACTTCCGACTGGTTGAGGTGGAAATCGTGGGGGACGACCTTTACTGCACAAACACCAAGCGAGTGCAGATGGGCCGCCTTCACGCGTTTTAGTCAATATGGTTTCCACTCTTTGGTTTCTTTTCTCTGTTTTTTTTTTTTTTTAATCTTTCCTTCTTTTCCTGTAAGATGAGTAAGCTTGTTGGCCCGGCTCACGCCAGGCTTGGACAAGAAGGCCACCAATGCAATGCTCCTAAAGGCAGAACGGACACCGTGCGAGAAATTTGTCAGACGAGCACAGCATCCAGAGCTTCACGCAAACAAAGAACAAGCCTGAAAAACACTAAGCTAGTAGGTTGGAGGCATCGGGAGGCCATTGCTTCTAGGTTTGAGGCCATCGCTACTAGGTTGAAGACAGGACTGAATTACACCAAGCCACAAAGCATGCGCAGGTGAATCAAATTGGAAGCGTCACAGAGTCCATTGCGGCCTGGAAGTTATGCAAAGACAACAAGCCTGGAAGCCCAAAGCTGGGGATAGAAGCGTTCTTAAAGGAATAATTTGTTTGATCTTCCAGGCAGCCATCGCTAGTAGGTTGGCCAATAAACAAACCGTGGCCGTGCCTGAGGTGGGGTGTCTTCGTTTCTCACCGATCAGGTGAAACCGAGGAAGCGTCGGCTCTACATGAAAGACCTTTGGAATTCGGCTGTTTACAAAATGTTACTACTAGCGTGGCACCTGTTACTACTAGCTTCTTGTTACTACTAGTAAGGCACCTGTTACTACTAGCGTGGCACTTGTTACTAAGAGTAGAAAAGGCATTAGAAAGAAAGGAAGGAACAGCCACATGCCCAAAGGTGCCTCCAAACTAGTAGCGATGGCCTCCAACCTACTAGCGAGAAAGAAAGAGAAAAGAAACAAAGAAACACAATGCAAAATTTGGAGTGCCAAAACTGAGATCAAGACTGGAGGATACTTTCATTGCTGACCTGACCGTCGGTTTGGGAACTGGCCACCTGAAGACTGGCGCGCCATGCAGGACGTCAACTGCGTTCCACGCATGACAAACAAAGGACATACGCAATACGCAAAGAAAAAGAAAGGAAACAGTCTGATGGTCTAGAACAAATGGAAAGGACAAAAGGATGGAACAAGTAGTCAGACATTCCCCTTGGTCTTTTCCAGAAGCTTCCACCTTGTCTTTCGTTCTTCGTTTTGCTTCGCCCAACCTTGTCACGGAGGAGCGAGCGTCTGTCGAAATACAACCAGCTCTTACGGATCGAGGAGGACAGCGGATTTTGCACCTGTTACTACTAGCGTGGCACCTGTTACTACTAGCTTCTTGTTACTACTAGTAAGGCACCTGTTACTACTAGCGTGGCACCTGTTACTACTAGCTTCTTGTTACTACTAGTAAGGCACCTGTTACTACTAGCGTGGCACCTGTTACTACTAGCTTCTTGTTACTACTAGTAAGGCACCTGTTACTACTAGCGTGGCACCTGTTACTACTAGCTTCTTGTTACTACTAGTAAGGCACCTGTTACTACTAGCGCGGCACCTGTTACTACTAGCTTCTTGTTACTACTAGTAAGGCACTTGTTACTACTAGCGTGTCACCTGTTACTACTAGTAAGGCACCTGTTACTACTAGCTTCTTGTTACTACTAGTAAGGCACCTGTTACTACTAGCGTGGCACCTGTTACTACTAGCTTCTTGTTACTACTAGTAAGGCACTTGTTACTACTAGCGTGGCACCTGTTACTACTAGTAAGGCACCTGTTACTACTAGCTTCTTGTTACTACTAGTAAGGCACCTGTTACTACTAGCGTGGCACCTGTTACTACTAGCTTCCAGGTCTTGCGGATCGGGAGTTTCCTTCAAACCGGTGAAAAAACGAACCTAGTAGCGCTGGGCACTGTCGGAGGAGTCTGGACTCAAGTTTTGTGGGAAGCACTTCCGACAGCCCTGGACCTTGGAGAGCTCTGGTGGCTACTAAGCCAGAGGACCCGATTTCCAGATTGTCCTTCCCTATTTTAAGCGTATGAGACATTTGGTCGGACTTGTTTCATGTCTTTTGTTCTACCGACTGGATGGATGTGGCGAGATAAAGCCGTTTCACCAATCCAATTCGGTTGAGCTTGACCGATTGATTTCGAGGAAGTTTGTCGAAATGATAGCGCTGATAGTATAGCGCTTGTTCCGCTTCAGGCTGGAGGCCATTGCTAGTAGGGAGGCCATGGTGCTCTAGCTTCATCGAGAAACTCGTTCTCTCACCACACTGGCTCAAGATACAGCTGAGATGAGCTCCTTTTTGTTTCTGCTCGTAGAACACATGCTTTTGTCAGGCGCACGTGTACATTCCAAGGAGCAATGAGGTCCATGACACAGACACAAGGCGTTGGAATGAATCAGTCTAGTTAGTAGTCCTCTCCACTCAAGAAAGCCTCTCCCCAACAATACAGAAGCATCCATTGAAAGACCCAGTTTCACTTTGTATGTTCCCAACTCTGTCTTTTTTCTTTAAACCTTTTTCTTTTAATGGCCTTGTAGCAAGGGTAATTGAGTCGGAGACAAACAAAGCTGCCATACGCACTGTGGCGATGGCGTGGGGATACTCAGCAGTTGACGACGTTGCACATTTTAAAGGCATGACACACAAATAATATATCTTCCATTCTTTTCTCTGGACCTTCAGGTTTTTCTGATGTCTTTTTGTTGTTCTTCCTTTTTGTTCATTACGCAAAGCAATGCGTGTAGTTGCTCTTTGGCGAAGGTTGAAGTCTGGGTCGGATTCGATGAGATTAATGGAGTTCTCTTTCTACAAACGCTGGGAGCAGGCAGGAAAAGTTTTTTTCAACACAAACCTTGCCATTCACATCGACTCATCGACCTGTGAAGTGAGGTGGCTGTCCGACCAGAACTCGATGTCGGCATCCCAGTCTTATCGGCTTTGCAGTGGTGAAATCTGGGACGGAAGGCGTTGCAGCTTTTGATTGAAAGATCGTGTATTAGAGGGGTAGTTAAGGCAGAAAAGGTCTAAAGAAAAGAAAGAATCACAGAACATTCTAAAGGTCAAAAGAAGGGTATAGAAGTCTAAAGACACAAGAAACAAATAACAAAAGGAAATAACTTATGCCTTTACAGGTTAGTTAAGTAAGGGGGCGGGAACTCTGAATTTGTTGCCAGGAATTGCTGAATCCTCCTCCCCTCAAGGGGCATGAGAAAAGCTTCAGCCGGATCGCAGCTTCACAGAGGCACTTTTGTCGTCCTTGTATGCTGGTGTTTCAGTAGATTTTTTTCAAGCAAATCGAGCAAAGACCAAGCAAGCAAAGAGGCTGTACTACTTGGACAACATCAAGCTGCCAAGCCAGCTCCCAACAGTCACCAGCTCAGCTGTGCAACTTAAAGCGAGATCAACTTTGTGCTTGGAATTGGAGAATTTCAGGGCGGAATTTCAACGTTCGAAGAGGGTTATCAAGGCTACCCGAGGCTGCAAGTAACGCCATACAGGTCAAGACTGTATCTTACTAGAGTTGTGTGTAGCAAGTCCCAACTGTGCCTTTTTCCCAGCAGGAATGGCTTTCCATGCTTTCCCAATAGAAGCGGGAGAAATACAAGTAGTTGAGACCGCCAGGTGTCACCCTACTCCACCACAAGCTGATGTTTCCGATGCCCCGAATGTATATCGACTTGCATCGGACATGCACCCTATATCGACCCAATCCGGTCGACCCAATGTCTCAGCGCCGACAAATTATTGACACAATACCAAAGGATGGAGGCCATCGCTACTAGGAACAAGAAGCTATTAGGGGCTCCTGGCCTTACTACTAGGAGCAAGGACGCTACTAGGGGCTCCTGGCCTTACTACTA